GAAGATGGAAGACCAAACTGTGCATTTTTGCCACATTTTACTCTTTTACTTCCACAAAGGGACAAACATGCGTCAAACTTTTGAAAAGTTGCACAAAGTTTATGGTGACAATGCTCTACAAGAATGTCAGTGCCAATGATGGTTCACAAAGTTCTGTGCTGGTGATTTTGATGCCAACGCCACTCCTTGGTCAGGGAGGCCCCCCGAGGGTAATGATGACAAAATAAAGGCATTGATGGAGTCAAACTCATGTTACACAACACGAAAGATTGCAGAAACATTGAACATGCATCATTCAAGCGTTCACGACCACCTGAAGAAGCTAGGATATGTAAGCAAGCTCGATATTTGGGTTCTGGTTCCGCATGAACTCCAAGTTCATTTGACGGCACATATAAACATCTGCAATATGCTCATTAAACATGAGGAAAATTATCCTTCTTTGACCAACTGATAACTGGTGATAAGTGGATTGTTTACAACAATGTGGTGTGCAAACAGTCTTGGTCCCGATGTGATGATTCGCCTCAAATGGCATCGAAAACAGGCATTCATCAGAGGAAGGTTATGCTTTCAGTGTGTTGGGATTTTAAAGGTGTCATGTTTTTCGAGCTCCTACCAAAGAACCAAACAATCAATTTGAATGTGTACTGTTGGCAATTGGACAGTTTGAACGAATCCATCATCCAGAAACATCCAGAGCTTGTTAATTGTAAAGGAGTTGTGTTCCATCGTGATAACGCGAGACCACACACAAGTTTGATCACCCGTCAAAAACTATTGGAGCTTGGATGGAATGTGTTGCCACACCCACCATACTCGCCTGACCTTGCGCCATCAGACTTCCACTTGTTTTGCTCTGTTCAAAACTCCTTGCTTGGTATAACGTTCAATTCAGATGAGGCTGTAAGTCAGCATCTTGTTCAGTTTTTCACAAATAAAGACAGGTCCTTCTATGAATGAGGAATTATGAAGCTCACTGAAAGACGGCAAAAGGTTATCAGACAAAATGGGAAGTATATTATTAATTGATCTTTGTTCTTTATATAAATAAGTGACCTTTGAAAAACATAGACAAAATACATCATGACTTTCCTGACAATCCAATATATTTATTCCAGGGTTTATCATGAGAAAAGTCAGGAGATAAAGAGGCATAAGAGAAAAAGTGAAGGCAAGAAGACTATTTGGCCCAGAACTGTCATATTAAAGGGCCTCAAATTTAGCCTTTACACCACATCTATCTATCTATCTATCTATCTATCTATCTATCTATCTATTTATCTATCTATCTATCTCTATCTATAAAATAATATGCTGGACTAGAAATACTGTGTATTACCAAAGGATATCACGAGGACTAAAGATGTGAAGCATAAGAACACAAGTCTTAATTATATATGAGAAAAAAGTTGCTAACAAGTAGTGTTCTTAAAAGACTAAATATGTTTTAATAAGGTAGTGAACCCATTATCACTGCAGGTATTAAAACATAGGCTGAGTAGCCATAAGTACCTGAGTATTTTGAGTTCATGAGGTTTAAGATATCTTTTATTACAAACATTCAGTGGTCTGACAAATCACTTGATCTCTTCACACCTTAGTTTCTATATCTATAAAATGAGATGATGGAATGAGAACCTTTTCTAATAAGAAACCTTGTTTCCAGAGCCAGCCGAGTGGCTCAGTTGGTTAAGAGCTCTCTCAAGAGTTTGAGCTCTGAGCAACAGTGGTTTGATGCCTGGCCCGAGCTGAGCTGCCACTGAGTTGCCAACAGGTAGGAGGATGGCTCAGCTAAAAAAAAAAAAAGAAAGAAAGAAAGAAAGAAAGAAACCTTGTTTCCTTATGATATTTGATGGTTTCTTCTCATGACTTTAAACCAAAATTAATATTTAAAATCCTTATTTTATATTATGTCTTCTAATACTGTGACTCTCTCGTAAGTCTTTGGGAAATGTTCTTTTTTTATTTATTTTTTATTTTTTTATTTTTTTGCAGTTCTATTTTTTTACTAGTTTTAGGTGTACAAAACAATGCATTAGTTATATTTTTCACCCCTCACAAAGTACCACCTCCCTCCCCGACTCAACCGCCCCCTCCAAAGATATCATACATATCTATCACAATTCCATCGACTCCACTCCCCGCACTGTACTCCACATCTCGTAACCACATATATATCAAATCTTAGTTGACATACAACATTATTCAACAGCAGCTTCAGATGTACAGTGCAGTGGTCAAGCCTCTACACTGTCCATGAAGTGGCCTTCCTATCAAGACATGAGTCCACCTTACCCCCTAATTATTTATTACAATAGCTATCTTTAAGGCACTTTGTATGCTCCATGTACTCATGTAATCATCAGAGACATAAAAGTTGGCCTCAAGTTAAAACACCTGCTCTGATGAGTTTATACACGTGTCAGGATATGGAAACAGAGTGAACAAGGTAATCAAGTAAAATATTAGTATATGATAGCTATAACAAGAGCTAAAAAGAAAAATGAAACCACATTATTAAATCCAGCATTACTAAAAAGTCTTTATCAGAGTAAACTACAGAGAGTGCCAAAAACATGTATACACACTTTATGATAACATCTCTATTTTTGCATACATAATGTATATTTTTGGAATACATAATGTAAGATAATTCTATTTTCTTCACTTTTAATTTATGAAAATTCAGAAGTTAATAAAAATCATATATGAAATATAGTTTTGTATGCTGTGATATGGTAAACTCTCCATTTGCCTTTTTTGCCACTTACACTAGATATAGAAGACCCCTTGTGTTCTGACTTACGTGTCTAGTAAATTTTGTACCACCCCTTCAAATAATACTTATGGACTCAATTTACTTTATTATACATTTTGAGTAGAAAAGTAAAATTTGTCTTGCTTTAAGTTAATAATGATTAAGCATTTTTTGACTAATGAATAAGTGATTTTCATTCCTGTTAATAATATGATTACAGGATACTTTGTATTCCAGTGTACAAGCCTGAAAATGTTGATTATGATAATGTTCTAATTCATATAACAAACTTTAGGATTGGAATCTTATGGCTCAATATTCTGGTATTGTTTGAAGCTATTGCTATAGTTATATTGAAGGAATACATGTATGCCATTCTTCTTCTTAGCTCTATTAATTCATATATATGCCAGCAGTGCAAATAGATTAAATAGCTTCACTTTGATTTATCTGGCTGAACTTTATCTCAAGATTGTCATGGATTTTACTTCATTTCTGAAATAT